ATGACACCGTCCGCAGTGGCCAATCGGCGCCCCACACAAGACAAATATTGATTTTCTACGCGTTCAAACTTTTGTTTTGTACACACGCCTTAACTAGCCCCGATTTGTTGCTGCTTTCTATCTCTGACGATGAACTCTTGTAGGAGTTCGAAAGCTCAAAATAACAAACAAATCGTTCCGGTGTTCGACCCTTTTTTCTTTACATAATAAAGCGCCAAGAAGGCATACGAGTGCAGGACATAAAAGTGCAAAACGTTTCTGTTATTCTTGCTATGCAGGCATAACCTTAATGCAAGTCCTTAGACCAGGGAGGGTTAATAGCAGAAAGAACGATGCATTAAGTAAGGATGTAACACCACCGTGTTATACACAAAACGCACGGTTCGGAATGGAAAATAAAGATTCCAACGTGACTCATGACCAGCAGCGACAAAAAGTAGTAATGAGAACGGCGAACAACAAGCCGGAATAGGATAAAAACGGGGCAGTATAGACAAACGTGAGCGCAGAAGCGAGAGGAAGATTTGCGGTTGCTGAGCTTAACCAGCCCAACAAAAAAAGAAATTGAACAACGCGCAGATTAAAACGACTGGTCTAAGGGAGGGGCAAAGCATTTTGGATGAATATATAAGTAACAGCTTGTGGGACAGTCCGCCTTCGGGAATGATTTTGAGATTTAGCGGACAGAACAAATCTCGCTGATAAATATTTACTTTAGAGGCAAAACTTCGAACTGACTTCTCCGTTTTCAATACAAAAATTCACATGTCAAAAAGCATGGTAGAGGCTGCAAGCAACAGAAGGAAATTGAGAACATAATAGAGTTACGTTTGCCGATTTAGTTGGATTGCAGGACGTAAATTAGCATCCCCTCACTAGAACTTTATTAAGAGGTCAAAAGCTTGGGGTTTTCCAAGAGCTTTCGTTTAACAGAAATTAGAGTGAAATTCAATGCAACTATACGGCCAAAAAACATCGAGTTATCCATCACAAGATAGCATCAAGATGAGAAGCAGATAAAGCATAAATCCATCTTGAAAACTAGACCATTTTGACGCCCCTAAGTCAGCCTAGTAAAGGCCATCAACATTCAACAGCTTTTACCCAAGCGCACGTCTTAGAAAAAAGACGACAGTAATCCTGCAGAGCGCCTTGCATCCGTCAAGCCAGTCACGCGCAAACCACTGTGTCAGTCAGGTGCATAGAATTGGCGGATGAATCTCGGTCGTTAAAACTGGCGCCTGTTAACTGGTAAACGAGTGATAATGTGCACCCCATGAGCTGCACAATCTAACTACCATGGCAACTTTAAAGGCATAATAAACAATCAACTGAACTTTGTCTTAGAGACCTAACTGAAAATGAATGAAACGCCTAAGGGGTATCTTGGTAACATTAAAGCCGAAAGTAGTGTTAAAAGGACACAATCTGGACCAAAAAGTATATTTGCATGTAATACTGTTTTGCAGAATTTCTTCGCCAGGAACATGTCAGGCTGCTCCAGGCACGAGGAAACAACATCAGTTTGCCAAATTTCCGTCCTGTCAAACGGACCGCTAACGTACGCTTCTGGCACGCGCAGTTGCATGCGTTCAAAAACAACACGAAAGGTGCTAAGGCGCCTCGCAGACGAACTGATGGAAAACAAATATTTACTGCTGAATCTAGTTGGCTCTTCGGATGAAACCAGATAGGTTATGGTGCCAGAGTACATGAAAAAAATAACACTCGTTGAGATTTAAAAACTAGAGCTGCTACTAGGCGCCAAAGCGTGAAATGCCGATTCCACTTTCTGTGTGTCCATACAAAACATAACTACGCCACCAGTAGTCAACTCCGAAACAATATAATGTGAGCGGATCGTCACTCGTGGCAGCGGCAACTGCTGATCTACGTCCTCATCGCGAGGCGTGGCGTGTTAGCGACAAAGGCGATTTGTAGCGTCTGCTTTTAGCGGATACTTGTGCTGTCAGTATGGTAAATAATTGCTTAGTTGTATACTACTGGCTGCCCGTTGCCAGCTTGCGAATATTATGCGGTTAGTCCGCAGTGGCTGATGGATTTCAGCTCAAACATCCATCTCAACGTTCGTGTTGAGTTCAAAAAAATTTGTTCCGAAGGATTTACTTCAAGTTCAGGCAGTTATTAAACAAGGCAGTAGTTTAAATTGCAGTTTAACCTGCTCGAACTAGCGTGATCGCTTAGTTGTAGAGTAATCGCAATGCGACAAGCGCACTAGTGCCTAGATCCCCTACATACGTCCGTCACTCACGACGTACCTGCGCCATAAAGTCACATGTATGCGAAAGAATTTGTCGGCGTCGGTATAACCAAGAAAACAGTACGCGAGGAAGTTTACACGTAACTTACATGAGATCAATGTCTTTCGGTGCAGTCTAACTCTGAGGTATGGAGGACTAGTACATACGCAGAACGCGATGGACGGTGACCTTTCGCGACGTCAGACATCATTTCCAGTGTCATCAATAGTCAGTTGGACTTTTAGCACGAGGTTGACATTGGGGTGGAATTCATTCTCACGGAAAATCAGTGCTTCTCCGGGTATAATGTACTCGATGCGCTTAAATCTATCACGATACGCTATCAGGGTGTGTTAGAAGCTTGCCGAGTGATAGGGTAATTTGTTTCCTGACAAAGACCTGGCTGCAATGGCTCATTCTTAGTGTGGTCTTCATGGAACCGCCTAGTCTCGCGAGATTTCAGACTCTCTAGAGGTAGCTTGGCAGGCACACACGGGTTTTCTAGGGTTGTCTGTCGTCGGATAAACACGTCCGCTCAATCCTTTTGAAAAAAAACAACAGGCTACATTTTCAGTGGAGTTATCCTATAACCCGAACGGGAAGTCCTAATAATACACATATCAGACTTGTTATTAGCTAAATATGTTTACAACATGAGACTCGTACACATTCGAATGGCGCCCGTCGAACTATCTCGGTTGGCTATATCCGCTCGACAAAGAGGAAGGATTGGTGA